GCCCGCGGCGCCCCCGGCTGCCCCGACAGCGGCCCCCGCGGCACAGACGCCCCAGCCCCCCACCGCCCCCAAAGGGGCCAGCGACGCCAAGCTCTGCGCTCTCTACAAAGAGGCCGAGCTTCGCCTGAAGGGCAGCAGCAACACCACGGAGTGTGTACCGGTGCCCACCTCCGAGCACGTGGCCGAGATCGTGGGTAGGCAAGGTAAGCGGGCGCCGGGACCGCGGAAAGGGACTGGAGTGGGGGCACCCCATCCCTAATACAGAAAGTTCATTTCCTCTCTCCTTGCCTGCCTCCGGCTCTGTCCCTTCCCCACAAAGGGGGACCCGCCCCCTACCCTGATTTCCAAGTGCCACAAAGTTCCCCGCTACCCCCGGTCGGGACTGTTCTCCTAATTCTACCTCCCTTAGGGCTCTGCCCTTAGACAAAGAAATATCCTCTCTGAGTGAGAGGGAAAGGGGAGGGGGTTCGGTCTCCCAATCCAGGGAGGCTGTCCGGAGGGGAGACCAGTCCTAACCTGGAAAACTGGCGGAATGTGCAGAGTTACTCAGAAGTCCCTACTCTTGTATCTATCTACCAGTGGGTTGGGGAGGGGGTACCCCTGGGACCCTCAGCCGCCTGGAGTTACAGACTTTGGGGGAGACCTGGCCCGGGAAGCCAGATTGAGTCTCTGTCTCTTTGTTGGACTGAGTGTAGGAATGGAAGGGGGTGTGGCTCATAGGAGGGTCCCAGCCTTGGGGAGAGGTCCTCAGGGGGCTGCTGGGAGGAGGGAGCCCAGTGACCATCCACACATTAAAGTTGAAGGGTCTACGGGGTTTTGGAAGGGGTGCCTCCAGTAAGTGCCATGTCCTGGCCTGGACCTCTTCTCCTCTCTCTCAGGCTTTTGTTCTGGGCCGGCCACCGCCAGGGGCCAGAGGCCTGGAGTGGGGTCTCTGGTGGTGAGAGTAACACAGGGTGGGGAGGGGGTTGGCCTGGGCAGGAGTGGGGGTGTGGGAAACCCTCACCTGGAGATTTGGTGGAGGGAGTGTGTCTGGTGTGCTGGGGGTGGGGGGTGTAGAATTAATCTAGTGTAGTATGTCTGATACCACACCCTCCTCGGGATCCAGCATCCCTGAGCTGATGGGGGTGGGAGTGTTGGTGAGGGTCCAGACAGAGTAGGTCTTGGGGACTTTTCCTTCTCCCCTTTTCCCAAAGGGGAGTGGGGGGGATGGGATGTGGAAATTGCAAGGGGGCTGGGCTGGGGAGGTGTGGGGTGGGGGAGGAGCAGGGGAGGAGCTGTCCCACAGTGGGGAACAATAGAGGAGCTGCATTCCGGTTAGGAGTGCGGGAGGAGGCCGGCTGCTGGCTGGGGGAGGGGGGTTCAGCCAGGGGGCCCCTACTCCACATCACACCTCTTCCACCCTGAGTGCTGGGGGTCGGGGTTGTCGCTGAGAGATCCAGAATGGAGGAGGGGAAGATGCCACTCCCCTGCACAGCCCTCATCCCCCCTGGGGCACTCCATCTCTTGAGATCTCTGGTTTGAAAAGTTGGATTTTTCTCTTGTTCCCAGAAAACTCGGCATTCAGAGCTCTGGAATTGGGTGGGGACACTGATATCTTTTCTTGGGTGTGGGGGTGGTCTTGGGAGGCCCCGGAATTTCATCGAGTCATTCTTCTGCCTCCGCATCAGATGGGCCTGTCTCTCATAAAAGTGGGGGTATTTCTCCTATTCCAGGAAGCCTCCTCTCACTCCTTAAGTATATGGAAGTCCTTCCTGTTGTCTGACCTACCTTCCTCCTGTTGCAGTACCCATACCCCTTTTGACCTCTAAGAAGGTGAAGCCCAGTGGGTCTTCCCTTCTAGAGATGTTTCTTTGGAGTCAGGAATCCAGGATGAGGATGCCCCCTTCTGCACCTCCACATCTCTTGCTTTTCTTATGCCCTGGCCAGTCCCCCATAGCACAACCCCCAAAGATATTGAGATCTCATTTAAGTTTTTGGACCCAAAACTTAAAACCAGAGCCCAGTACCTACCAGATGCCATGTGAGTAGAAAGAAGTAGTAGGAGAGGGGCCTTAACTGTTCCCCTAACCTCTGTGCCTCGTAAATAGAACAGCCATTTGCTGATGTTAAAGCAGTGAGGACGTGGGCTTGACAACAGGTAGGACTTCTCAACCACCAAGGGAAGAGAGCGGAAGACAAAAATCCTTCTTGTCTCTTGAAGGCCTATCCTCCCACCCACCCCTCAATCAGGAATAGGGAAAGGGAGGGGGGAAATGAGCTCACCTCAGGCCTGGGGTTCAAGGGTTGGGGCAGACTACGGAATACTGACTTGAATGGGGCAAAAGTTGTGGACCCAGGTAGGAATGTGCTGTCTGAAGGCTGGGGTGACAGGGGTGGAAGAATGGGAGGTGTGAGGGGTTGAAACACAGAACCCATGTGTGTGGAAGTGTAAAGTAACCTTGTGTCACAAGTACTGTTTAAAGGCTCGCTGTGGATCATAGCTCCTCACATATGTAGCCTGTGTGCTTCAAGAAAGTGGGAGTCTCTGAGGTTCAGTGCAGGGGCAGGGAAAGGGGCCGTGGGAAAGAAGCTGGTCTGTCGGCCACCCAAGTCTGCCACCTTTAGAGATGGTGTGTCTGTCCCAGCCTCCCTCACTTTTCTCGTTCCCCTTCTGCTTTGTCTCTTTGTCTGGGCCTTTCTGCTTTCTCTTCCTGCCTCTCCCCCAGCCACCCAGCTTTAACCCAGTCCTACTTCAAAGCTACAGTCTGGGTCCAGAATAACCGACTCCCTCCCTCTGCTCAGCCTTCAGTCCAGCGAAGCTTCCCTGTCCCTAGAAACAGGGCAGCAGGAGTGGCCACGGGGTCCATGGACTAGCCCCCACTAATCATTATATTCGTACTCCTCGTTTGCCTTTGAAACTCTTGATTCTCAGACTCCTCCCAGTCTCCCTTACTCCACCAGTTGCTTCAAACTTGCTATTAATTTGGGGTCCACAGGGATACTAATGGGGGTAATAGTCATAAGAGCATATGGGGGTCAGTAGTCCCTAAGTAAATTGGAGAGCACTTTCAGTTAATGGAGGTCAAGTGAGGAGTAGATTTTGGGGTTACTGAATTCATTTGGGTTCCGTGGAAAAACCAGGGACCGTGATAGATGGTGGGGGGTTGGCGAAGTGATTGGGAAATTTGTGAGTAATCAGGATCAGTAGAAAACTACAGCACGTGGTGTTGAGGAAAGGTTAGTAGACATGAGGTTGGTAGCTTGTCTGTGAGTGATAATTTCAGGGAGTGAATGAATTTGGAGGAATTTTCCAAATGGAAATTCCAAGGAAAGTTGGTACATTTTTAAATCAATGGCTGATAAAGACTTTGGGTAGATGAGATACAAGTGGAATGTTCAAGTCAGGGCAGACAGGGGTGGTTTTCAGAGGGCAGGGAAGGGTTCTGGGGCGCAGAGAGCTGGGTAAGAAGCAGAAGTATACGGGCCCCAGCACAAACCTTTGGTGTCTTGTTTCTTTTTCTCTCCCCTCCCCCACCCTACCCCAGGCTGCAAGATTAAAGCTCTGAGGGCCAAGACCAACACCTACATCAAGACTCCAGTGAGGGGCGAGGAGCCCGTTTTTATGGTGACCGGCCGACGGGAGGACGTGGCAACAGCCCGACGGGAAATCATTTCAGCAGCTGAGCACTTCTCCATGATCCGGGCCTCCCGCAATAAGTCAGGCTCCGCCTTTGGTGTGGCGCCCGCCCTGCCCGGCCAGGTGACCATTCGTGTGCGGGTGCCCTACCGTGTGGTGGGGCTCGTCGTGGGCCCCAAGGGGGCAACCATCAAGCGAATCCAGCAGCAGACCAACACCTACATCATCACACCAAGCCGGGACCGAGACCCGGTATTCGAGATCACGGGAGCACCGGGCAATGTGGAGCGAGCACGCGAAGAGATCGAGACCCACATCGCCGTGCGCACTGGCAAGATCCTCGAGTACAACAATGAAAATGACTTCCTGGCCGGGAGCCCCGACGCCGCGCTCGACAGCCGCTACTCGGAGGCCTGGCGGGTGCACCCGCCCGGCTGCAAGCCCCTCTCCACCTTCCGGCAGAACAGCCTGGGCTGCATCGGCGAGTGCGGGGTGGACTCCGGCTTTGAGGCCCCGCGCCTGGGAGAACAGGGCGGGGACTTCGGCTACGGAGGGTACCTGTTTCCGGGCTACGGCGTGGGCAAGCAGGATGTGTATTACAGTGTGGCGGAGACGAGCCCCCCGCTCTGGGCGGGCCAGGAGAACGCCACGCCCACCTCGGTGCTCTTCTCCTCCGCCTCCTCTTCCTCCTCTTCGTCGGTGAAGGCCCGGGCCGGGCCTCCTGGCGCGCACCGCTCGCCCGCCTCTTCCGCGGGGCCTGACCTTGCAGCACTCCCCAGACGCCCGCCCGGAGAACCGCTGCAGGGCTTCTCTAAACTCGGGGGGGCCGGCCTGCGGAGCCCTGGAGGCGGCCGGGATTGCATGGTGTGCTTTGAGAGTGAGGTGACTGCTGCGCTTGTGCCCTGCGGACACAACCTGTTCTGTATGGAGTGTGCGGTACGCATCTGCGAGAGGACGGACCCAGAGTGTCCCGTCTGCCACATCACAGCCACGCAAGCCATCCGAATATTCTCCTAAGCACCCCGCCCCCGACCTCCCGGAGCCACTCCCCAGGGGCCTGCCCCCGGAGCTGTTTTTCCGCTAGGGCCTTTTGGAAATCCACCAGGGCCTTTGGAAATCAGTGATTGGTGGGGCAGGGTGCTTAGAGATACTCAGTCGCTAGGAAGCGGGGAGGGGAGGCGATGGTGGCTGGAGGGTGGGCCATTTTCAGAGCCGCTGGTCACCCTGTCCTGGAAAGGTGGGGAGGGGCCAGACAGGAAATTTTACTAGAGTTACAACTCTGATACCTCAACACACCCTTCAATCTGGAAGCAGCTAAAAAAAACTTTTGTTTTTGCCAGAGGTGGCCGCTAAGGCGTCCTGACCCTCTCTGTTCCACCTCCCCATCTGTGTGTCACTCTACCCCTTCTTTGGAGGGGCTGGGGGAAGGGAGAGGGAGAATTGCCATCTGTATCTAGAGGTGCTCTTTCCAAGCCCTCTGGTCCTGACCTCCGACCTTCTAACATGACCCTATTGCCCTCCACCGCCATATCCTGTTTGGGAATCTGTTCCTGGGTTTCCAACAGTATAAGGGGGTTGGGGTCCTTTCAGAAGTCTAGAGAGATATTTTTCGGGGGGGGGGGTGGGGGGGAGGCAGGGAAGTCTGTCAATCAATAAAGGGCTCAGATCTGTTCCTGCAAAGCTGGGCTAGAGGAATTTGGAGGGGGCACGTCTCCCTGCCCCCTCTTTCCGCCTCATTCTCTGCCCCCTGTCTTCCCTCCCTTTGGGTCCTCCTTCCTCTGCCCTTTCCCTAGGCTCTGTGCTCTGCTTCCCCTCCGTGGCTGCCCCTGCCAGCCCTGTCTTGCTCTTTCTTCCAGTTTCTCCCCTCCCTCCTGCCCTTCCAGCCCAGCTTGGGGACACCATCCCTCCAGGGAGAAATAGGGAGAAAACGTCTTGATGGTTTCCTCCTAATTCCTCTTTCAGTACCTGGAGGCCCTCTCCCCCACTTCTCCAAAGAAACACCTTCATTTCTTGATGGAATGTATCCCCTTTCTCAGTGTAGATTTGAGGAGGGGACCAATTTGGGGTATATAAAGGGTCAAACTTCCATTTTTATCATCTTTGGGCATTATATTTAGGGAGCGGTTCTTGGGCTGGATTTTCTGGTGGGGTAGTGGGGGTGCGCCAGGGTAGTGTGCTTTTTCTAAAGCAGGAAAGGGGCTGAGGCTGGAGGGGAGGCTGCTGGAGGGAAGGGCAGCTCCTCTGCAGTACCCTGTCCCCACATCCCTCTGACCCCCTGCAAATCATGAAGTCTCTGTCCCACCCTTGTGGCTGAAGAGAGAGACCAGATCCTGGGAGCAGGGTCAATCCAGGGCAGCAGGATTGGGGTGCAGCAGGGCCTGTTTCAGAAGTCATGTATTGTTATGGACTTGCAACCCCTTTTGCTGCTTTCCTGTTGCTCTCTCGGGGCTGCCTCCCACCCTCTTGGTTCCGCTGGCCGGGCTGGGAGAGGATGGGGGCAGTGATGGGAGTCCCAGAGGGTCCCCAGGAAATTCTTGTATATAATGTGGTGGGACTGTTGAAAGTGATCTCTGAGCTCTGAGTCCCATTCTTCCTGGATGGAGAGGGGGTGCAGGGATGGGGGTAAAGAGGGGATTTCCTCCTCTTCTTCCTCCTGTTGTGAATTAACTCACCTCTCCTCAGCCTTCCCCTCCAGACCACCAGCCAGGGAGGGGAGAGGAAGGAGGTCACAGCAAGGGAAACTGACCTGTGACAACTTCCCTCCTCCCGCCAATGTGAGCCATCCTGCGATGTCTGTACAATAGAAACCAAACCAAATGGGCACCCTCGGTCAACGAGGGGGGTAGGGAGGGGGGTGGGAAGAAGGGATGTCTGTCTGTCGATCCCCCTCCCCCTCTCCACTCCTTACCCACAAAGGCAGAAGACTGTTACACTAGGAGGCTCACAGGAAAACTCAATCCCACCCTTACTAATTGAGCCAAGCCTAGAGACAAACGCAAAACTCATAGTGAGAGACAAAATAGAGGAGAGAAAGAGAGCGTGAGAGGGAGCGAGATAGGCAACCAACACAGAGGAGAGAAAACAAAAATAGCAAAAAAAAAACAGTTCTTTATAATTTAATATTCTATTTTAATAAAGGCGTTTATTACCGTATAAATGTAGCAAAGAACCTGGGCTAATATGAAAAAAAAAAGACTTTTTATTAGGTAATTTATTATATGAAAAGGATATTTTATTTTATGATAAAGTGATCCTTAAAAAAATAAAAAAACTTTAGAAGGTTTAGAATATATGTAGGGAGAGAAGAAAAAAGATACATTTGTATTCAGAGTTAAATCTTAAAAAAGTGTTTTTAATATATGTTCGGGTTTACGTTCCTTTTTTCCCCCACGTTTTTTTTGGGGAGGAATTTCATTTGCTTTTGGGGGGAGCATCCTGGGATGGATGGTGAAGAAAGGGGCTAGGGGAGCCTGGTCCCTCTGGGGCCCAGCAAACAGATTGAATTTCACTCCATGGGCTCCCCTCCTCTCTCCCCTCCCCCACCCTACCCCAGGCTGCAAGATTAAAGCTCTGAGGGCCAAGACCAACACCTACATCAAGACTCCAGTGAGGGGCGAGGAGCCCGTTTTTATGGTGACCGGCCGACGGGAGGACGTGGCAACAGCCCGACGGGAAATCATTTCAGCAGCTGAGCACTTCTCCATGATCCGGGCCTCCCGCAATAAGTCAGGCTCCGCCTTTGGTGTGGCGCCCGCCCTGCCCGGCCAGGTGACCATTCGTGTGCGGGTGCCCTACCGTGTGGTGGGGCTCGTCGTGGGCCCCAAGGGGGCAACCATCAAGCGAATCCAGCAGCAGACCAACACCTACATCATCACACCAAGCCGGGACCGAGACCCGGTATTCGAGATCACGGGAGCACCGGGCAATGTGGAGCGAGCACGCGAAGAGATCGAGACCCACATCGCCGTGCGCACTGGCAAGATCCTCGAGTACAACAATGAAAATGACTTCCTGGCCGGGAGCCCCGACGCCGCGCTCGACAGCCGCTACTCGGAGGCCTGGCGGGTGCACCCGCCCGGCTGCAAGCCCCTCTCCACCTTCCGGCAGAACAGCCTGGGCTGCATCGGCGAGTGCGGGGTGGACTCCGGCTTTGAGGCCCCGCGCCTGGGAGAACAGGGCGGGGACTTCGGCTACGGAGGGTACCTGTTTCCGGGCTACGGCGTGGGCAAGCAGGATGTGTATTACAGTGTGGCGGAGACGAGCCCCCCGCTCTGGGCGGGCCAGGAGAACGCCACGCCCACCTCGGTGCTCTTCTCCTCCGCCTCCTCTTCCTCCTCTTCGTCGGTGAAGGCCCGGGCCGGGCCTCCTGGCGCGCACCGCTCGCCCGCCTCTTCCGCGGGGCCTGACCTTGCAGCACTCCCCAGACGCCCGCCCGGAGAACCGCTGCAGGGCTTCTCTAAACTCGGGGGGGCCGGCCTGCGGAGCCCTGGAGGCGGCCGGGATTGCATGGTGTGCTTTGAGAGTGAGGTGACTGCTGCGCTTGTGCCCTGCGGACACAACCTGTTCTGTATGGAGTGTGCGGTACGCATCTGCGAGAGGACGGACCCAGAGTGTCCCGTCTGCCACATCACAGCCACGCAAGCCATCCGAATATTCTCCTAAGCACCCCGCCCCCGACCTCCCGGAGCCACTCCCCAGGGGCCTGCCCCCGGAGCTGTTTTTC